TCTACACTAGTTTTTTTACACATACACACAGTACTTTCTTCCACAAACACAAAAAATAATTCTATCACCTCAGGATTCTCTTTATAGAAAGCTACATATTACACTTGTTCATTGTACTTTGGCTAGGTTCCTGCTACAGGTTATTTTGTGTCAGGCTGGATCTTTTCTCTTCTTTGGTGTGTAGGTTGCTTGAAAGAACTTGCTCATATTTTCTATCTGGAATAACAGGGGGAAGAGATGAAGAAAGGAGAGGAATCATTTTAAATAAAGAAACAAAATCCGGCACAAAAACTAGCTATAATATTGATGTGATGATCTTCATTTCTGAGAAATGGTTCCTGGTTATTCAACAGCTGGATTCGAATTTGAACCAGCTTTTTTTTTTAACATGAATATTAACTACCCTCACAACCAAAATGGAAAATACATCATCATCTTTTCTTCTCATATGTGATCTGTGCCCTGCCACACTAGCCGAGAACAAAGGAGTTAGACCTGAAAATCTATTATTTTATTAGATTATTTACAATCTAAATTTATAACCATTTGTAATGCCTTAAAAGAGCCAAAACCACTAAGAATTAAATTAAAAACCAAAGGCCATGACCCTAAAGAGTCAACTACTCTTACTATAAAGTCTATGGCAATAGACTGCACCATGGCATCTAAGTTTATTAAAGCTCCTTGTTTCTAAAACAACTTCATGTGGAATTTCTAAAATTACTTTCAGACTCCTGGTCTCCAGCGAACCCTACAGCTACTGAGTTCTCTTTAATCATCCGCAGAAGTGTGAAATCCTAGCTGACAGAGGGCTGCTGTCCGAGGTGGGGGTGACAACTCCACAGTCCATAAGGGAGCCAGACTTCAATTTGAGAATCAGAGGTCTCTTTTCATTCCAAAATCACTGTCACTAAAGGACACACATTCTATGTGATCCACCCAATTACTTTCCTTTCTTCCTTAATTGGATTGTGTAGAACTAGCCCTAACTCAGGTATAAAGCAGCACTAGAAAAAGGCTGGAAATCCTGAAGAGCAGCTTGGTGTTCTAACACTTTTTTTTTTCATTTGCTCGTTTCCTTCTGCAGTCCCCATCCGAAAACCCCAGTAGATACCAGGCCAGCTATTATGTGTGCAGGGTGGGTGAGATCATCTGATTTGAAGGGTGGAGAACTCAGATACATTAAACATCAAATTCATCTAAGTTAGATGAAAATCTATAGTCGTATTTGGTTTCAAATATTTGTGATTCAAAATACAGATTAGTAGGAGAATCCAAACAGAAGATAACTGGGTACATGTTATCACTGGAACATGATTACCAGAGCTTAAGAGAAAGCGGATTCTGGGGAGGCTTTTATCCCTTGCCAGATGTGCTTGTTTTTGTCTTTAAACTCAGAGGCTGTAGGGACGCCTGGGTGGCTCAGTGGCTGAGCATCTGCCTTCATTCAGCTCAGGTCATGATCTCGGAGTCCAGGCATTGAGTCCAACGTAGGGCTCCCCATGGGGAGCCTGCTTCTCCCTCTGCCTATGTCTCTGCCTCTCTGTGTCTCTCATGAATAAATAAATCTTTAAAAATAAATAAATAAACAAACTCAGAGGCTGTAAGGTGATGATCTGTATGGCGGATCTCCCAGAGGGAACTTTTAGTGATCTTCTAGGAGAAGCCATTATTTTTGCCTGCCTAGTTAGTATTCATTTCCTATTCTTCTGGTAATAGCAGCCCTAGTCCCTCTAGGCATCCACACAAATCCCTGCATTGCTGCATGTGCTATGACCTTTACCCCCTGGCTGTGCACGTGTCTGAAAAGCACACACATGACCCCAGCCTGGCCTGTAAGTGCCCAGTTTCCCTCTGATCAGTTGGGAGTAAGCATATACCCTGAGCTTTAGCGCAGGGGCTTTTGCTGCAACCACATCTGTGAAGCTGACGATGAAGGCCGGAGCTGCTGGGGAAGGTTACCTGAGAAGAAGTCCAACCTGGAAGGAAGCACATTTGAATGATGCAAAGAAGTCAAGTCCTGGAAACATCAGTTGAATACTGGGATCCACCTGTTCCTGCTAGAACTACTCTTGGTCATTCAATTCCATCAGCCATTACATTCTCCTCTGAGGGCTCAGTTGGTTAAGTGTCCGATTCTTGGTTCAACTCAGGTCATGATCTCAGGAGCCCCCCTCGGCGTTCAGCACAGAGCTCGCTTAGGATTCTCTCTCCCTCTCTCTCTCTGCCCCTCCCACCCTCATGCTCATGTGTGCACGCTCACACACTCTCTCTCCCTCTCTCAAATAAATAAATAAATAAATAATAAATATATAAATAAATTTTCCTCTGAATCTAGTCAAATTGAACTGGCTCTAAGATTCCTGTCATGTGGGATCCCTGGGTGGCGCAGCGGTTTGGCGCCTGCCTTTGGCCCAGGGCGCGATCCTGGAGACCCGGGATCGAGTCCCACGTCGGGCTCCCGGTGCATGGAGCCTGCTTCTCCCTCTGCCTGTGTCTCTGCCTCTCTCTCTCTCTCTCTGTAGGACTATCGTAAATAAATAAATTTAAAAAAAAAAAAAAAAGATTCCTGTCATGTTATATGAAAAGTCCCATCAGATACACCTTTCACTGGAATACAGTTCAATTTAGAGAAGAAACTCAAGGGTAAACTGAGATTTGCCAACTTTTTCAAGAAAATTAAGCAATGTGCAGGGAAGCAGCGAGGGCCACACACCTCAAAACAGTAATGTGTTCTGGGGGAAGAAAAGAGATCAGAAATGTCAAAGACATATGGCAGGGAACATACAGTTTTACAAAATAAAGACATTACTTTTAAACACAAATACAAACTGATACTGCCATCTGTTAAAAGAAAGATGTGAAGCAAGCAGGAGAAGAGACAAGGCTACGTGTAAGGAAAGACTGTTAGGATCAGAAGTAAGTCAGGCGGGTCCAAAAAACCCCAGAGGGCAGGGAACTGACTAGGCATGAACTATCCACTAGTTCATGCCTTTTGTCTCTTATTGTATGGTTCTGGGAGGTGCCAGGGAGCTCAAAAAGACTGTCCTGGTGGACAGAGAGAGGAAAAAAAAAAAAAACCCCAGACACCTCCAGTGAGGAAATGCAGAATTAATAAATGTGCCAATGCCATGGGACTTTGTCAAAATACCCTGCATCCTCCACCAGATACACACACAGAGTGGGTGACTGGAGGATGACTGCTGAAGCCGATAATGGGCGCGTGAGGTTTGTGCTCTCTTGCTTTTCTGCATGTTTCTAAATGTCTATGAAGTTTTTAAAAAGTTTAGAGAAGAAAAAAAGTCTGGACAAATCAGAAGATCCAAGGAAATAATGTGCTCTTGAAAAGAAAGGAAAATCCCGAGTTTTAAGTGAGGTTTATTCTAAAAGTTTGGAGTGCACCGTTATTTGTGAAGTTACCTAGGTTTTACTCAAGAGGCAGGAGGATGGCTGCTGAAAGCTTTGAAACTGGAAGACCTGAAAGTGAACTGCAGTCCCAGGTTTTCCTAAAGGGAAATAACTCTCATGGGCACTTGTGAGATTCAACTAACATACTGTAATCTACTTTGTAAATCATATGGCACTACCTGCACATTAATTACTTTTTAATTACCTGAAAACATATCTGCCTAGTGAACCTCAAGATAACCAAAACATTTTATAGAACAAAAGAGAGTAGAAAATTTGTATGACTGACATAATTAACACACAGTGGAGCCATGAGAAAGACGAACAAAATTTTTAGATGCTCACTGCCTGAATGAGGAAGGTATTTTTATGTCTTTTTGGCAATTGGGGGAAAAACTTCTCCCAGGGCGGGGAAATAGCCACCGAAACAGGCAAGTAGGAGAACCCTCACCCACGGGAAACCTCAGGGCAGAAAAATTAGTTTGAGAAGGATCTGAAGTGCGAACCTGGGACACCTGGGGGGCTCAGTGGCTGAGCATCTGCCTTCGGCTCAGGGCGTGACCCCGGGGTCCTGGGATCCAGTCCTGCATCGCAGGGAGCCTGCTTCTCCCTCTGCCTGTGTCTCTGCCTCTCTCTGTGTCTTTCCTGAATAAATAAAAATAAAAATAAAAAAACAGAAGTGCAGAACTTCCAGAAAATCCCGGTTCAGCTCGGGAATGAAGAAATGCGGGTATCAGCAGAGTCCAGCCTGACTGTGGAGGAAGGAGCACACTCACTCGGCGAGTTATGCCGGCTGCACACCCACACGCAGTGGGGCACGCTCCCTGATAAAAGGCAGGCAGGAGCAGAATCTGAAGTCAAGGAGGAGAAGTAGAAGGGTTTTTCCTTGCCCCCGCCCCACGTGTTTTTCTGTTTTGCCAGTCCAGCGCGGAGGTGGGCAGGGCACGGGAGGCCTTAGGGGTGCAGACACCGGGATGGAAACACAGGCAAAGAGGCCGCGCGTGCACAAGCTGCAGCTTCAGCAGCCAGAGAGAAGGATGCTCTGAGCCCGCGAGGACGGCTGGGCTGTCCCCGGCCTGGCGCCAGGCGCGGTCCCGGGGAGGACGTCATCCGCACACCTGAAGCCCGGCAAGCCCGGCGCCAGAGGTGCCCCACGCTCGGCGCCGCGCTCACCGCCCCAGCCCGCCCAGGGCCACCCCTGGGAGTAAGTCCCGGACGCCGAGTGCAACGGGCCGGCCCGCACCCCAGGACCGATGCAGCGGGGGCCGCGCGGCTGGGGGTGCTGCCCGGGCGGTCCGCGCCCGCTCCCGCGCCCGAGCCCGAGCCCGCCGCAGCCTCCCGCGCCCGCCCGCGCCCGCCCGCGCCGCCCGCGCCGCCAAGCCCCCGCCCAGCCGCGGCCGGACCCGCCTCCAGCCGCGAGGAACCACCTACCGCGCGCCGGCTCCGCGGCCGCAGGCTCCCTGGCTACCGGCTGGGCGACCTCGCCACCAGCGAGCCGAGCGGAAAGAGCGGCCCCTTGCGACTTCCGGAGGAAGTGGCCGCGGCGCCGGAAGTCGGGGGGCGGGCCAGAGGAGGCGCGGTCCGCCGCGGTCATGGCGGGGCTGTGGCTGCTCCGCGGCCCCGGCGTGCGGCTTCCGGGGGCCCGACTGTGGCGGCTGCTGCCTCGCGGGCTCGGGGTCTGGGCCCCGGCCGACGGCAGCGCCGGCGTCTGGCGGAGGCAAGTCTGCGCGTGGCGGGCCTCGGAGCTCGCTGGCCGCGGCCGGGGAAGGCGGCGCGTGAGCACGGCGATGCCGCCCCCGCCGGGGTCGTCCGGCCCGGAGCCCAAGGGCCGCAGAGACCCCACGCGCCCCTCCAAGCCCGGGGTGAGTGCGGCCCTGCAGCCCTCCCTGCACCGCGGCCTGCGGCGCCCCGCCCCGCCCCGCCCCGCCCCCGCCGCCTTGCGGGCCTCCTCCGAGACCGTCCGCGGCCCGGCCGGGCGGGTCCCGCGCCCTCCTCCCCGGAGCGGAGGACGTGAGAGCCGACGGCTTCCCCACGCCGCTGCAGTCTCGGGCTTGGGTTGCAGCGCGCTCGGGCGCCCGCTCCTCCCCAGATGCCCCCAAGATAGGGTTCGCGTTCTCCGCGGAGGCCTCGGCCTCGCGTCGCCGGGATTGAGGCTCGGAGCATGTTTAGTTCTGTCGCTTGAACCCCCTTGAGAGGGTCGCCGCGTGGGTTGAAATGGAGCAGGACGAGATGCGCGTCGTGGTTGCGTGCAGGATAGGCCATCTAACACATCTTTCTCAGGTTCTGGTTCCGACCCCAGGAGAACTTGACAGCTGAGAGGGGTGGGCTTCAGAAGCGGGGGCGCGGGCGAGGGGAGGTTCACGAAGGAGGCCCAGGAGGTGGACATGTACCCCGGGACTGGAAAAAGAGTGCAAACAAGTAATTTGCGAGGAGCTCCGTTTCTGCTTTGGCTCTGTTATTTCTGGAAGCCAGAGTTGGGTCAAACCGAATTTTCTTTGTTTTGTGTTCCTAGTTACCAGTCAGCACAGTCACCTAAGTAACGGGTTTTGAAATCAGCAGATGGCAGTCGGGGTCGCACGGAGGGAACAGTCGTGAGGATTGAGCTTTGGGTCTCATTCACCTGGAATGCACTTACGGAGTTTCCCTTTGGAAATGAATGCCTCGGTGATTGTGATCACCGCGGTGCAAAGTGCCTCCAGACTGGGTACTTCCTCCCCCCAGAGGAACAGGAGACCTTCTGTATATTTAACAGGATCAGGACTTGTATTCGTGTCTATGAAAGACCACCATAGTGAATTCAGTGTGGTTGAATGTTTGCATCTTACAAATATATATCTTTATTTGAAATCTCTGCCCCAGTAGCCTGTTTCCTGGAAGTCTTTGGCATTCACGTTTGCAATTGGTGGAGCTTTACTGGCCGGAATGAAGTACTTCAAGAAGGAAAAGACACGGAGTAAGTAGACATTCTCTGGTTAGCTCTGAATAAAGTTCTTCTTTTCTAGCATCTTTTGTTTTTAGACTTCTTATCTTTAGATAATTTGATAGGAGCAGAATAGTTTTAAAGATGGCCTACAGAGTTCCTGTGTATCTTTCGCCCAGCTTCCCGGTTAACAAATTATATAACCATGCATGGCTCATTTGTTTAAAGTAGGTGCAATACTATTCACTATTCACTTGATTTCGAAGTCATCTGTTTTTTTCATTTCATTTGATCAGGTCCAGGACCTAGTCCAAGATACCACCATCTAACAGAATGAAAAGACTTGTGGACAGGCTTGGATGTGGGTGATTGGAAGCCCAGAGGGTACAAAGATGATTGAGGCATAGTCCAGCCATCGAGGTGCATATTACAGGGAAGCAGACACAGGAGTAAAAGATTTCACGAGGGCCAAAGAAGGGCCAACCTGCACTGCAGACCACGGAGTATCGGCAGAGGCCAGAGGCTGACCATGGATGATGGACAGATAGGGAGAACCTGGTCAGGGGGTGCCAGGAACTGCTCCAGATTAGCATGGGAAGTGTTTAGAAATTGTTTGCATGCACGTTATATTTTAGTGAATATTCCAGGCTTTTAAGATTTGGTTTAGAAGTTTCCAGTAAACCTTTAAAATATCACTTCAATCTGTCATGGTTCTTTAGAGTCAATTTTGATGCCATGATACAAAGGATGTTTTTAAATCCATGAAAATTTAAAAAAAATTTTTTTTCTTAATAAATTATATACGTGAGAATTCATAGGTTTTAGAATCGTAGCATTATAAGATCCATATCAACATATGATGTTGATTTTGTGTAACAATCATTTATTATGCGATTTTCATATTCTAATAAGAAATTAAGATCCTACAGTTTCAGAAAGAAACAAATCTGAGAAACTAGGACTGTAGTGGCAGAGACAGTTCTAGGATATGCAAGCTTTTGAGTTCAGTTTGGAATTTCGCCTGCAGTAATACTTGTTTTATAAAAAATTGTTGTAAGTGCACCTGGTGGGTGGCTCAGTGGTTGAGCATCTGCCTTCAGCTCAGGGCGTGATCCCGGGGTCCTGGGATCGAGTCCCACATCATTCCCCACAGGGAGCCTGCTTCTCCCTTTGCCTATGTCTCTGCCTCTCTCTGTGTCGCTCATGAATAAAGTCTTTAAAAAATTATTATAAAACTACTAAAAGTATTTCTAAATCATTTTAGAGTCTTTGCTGACATGCTGTCTCATCATCTCTAAATACTTCACTGTGTACTTTTTATGACCAAGTATGTTCACCAACATAATCATAATGTAGCCATCAAAATCAGAAAACTAACATTGACATGTTAACTACCATTCAGTATTCAGACCTCATTCAAGTTTTGCAACTTGATGTTTTTTATCCCAGAAGGATCCGGTTCGGAAACATACCTGTACCTACTTTTCTCTGTAGTCTCCTTCAATCTGTAGCGGTTTCTCAGTCTTTATGTGACTTTCATGACCTTGAAAACTTTGAGGATTACAGGCCAGTTATTTTGTGAAATGTCCTTTAGTTTGAGTTTGATTCCTCATAACCAAGAAGGAGGATTCTTCATGATTATTAGGGAGTCAGACAAACCCACATGTGTCCTTTCAGCAGGAATCTCATAAAAGTGATGCTGTATTCTCACTGCTTCTAGTCTGGTATCATGTGATCTCATTTTGTTCCATTACTGATAATGTTCAGGTTGATCATGCGTCTGTCAGGCTTCTCTATGGAAAACATGGTTAATGTGTATTTTATGGTGTGTATTTTCATACATAAATATTCCAGTCCTCCTCAAGACTCCCCATTTATGTATGTCCTTATGGACTTGTGCTTTCCTATGCCTTCATAATCTCTTTATTTTGATGCTCAAATTGTTCCGCATTGGTCCCTGGGATCCGAGCAAGCTCCTGTTCTTTTTGACGTGTCTTCAGAGTTCTTAGTTCTTCCTTAAATCTGGCTCATCTTGGACCTCTCTGCCATAGTTCCAATACCAGCCATTTCTCCAAAAAGCCCTGTTTCCTTTTAGTGGAGGGTGATCTTTAGAAATCAGAACATGGGCTCATCACTGCTGGGTTGTGTCTGCTCCAGGGTCCTCTCCTCTCTGGGGACCCAGCTAGAAGATAGACGTATATGTACTTATAGATGCATTTACTTCTGTATCTGTATATGTTGCAGCCACAAGTTCTTATTGGCACCTTCAGTTGCTGCACAGTACTACAGCATGCATCCTGTCCATCTGTCCACCCTTCTACCTCTCTTGCCATGTGTGATTCTTATCTTTAACATGCTTATTTACTATTGATCCCTTGTGTGAGGTCCCATGGCCACTGTCCCCACCCCGGTCAGGTGCCCTCCTTGGGACCCTCGGGCTAAGACTCCTGACACCGGGTACCCACCTTGGGCCCAGACAGTCTGGTCTAGGCTGCTGCAGACTATCCCCCAGCCTATCATGGCCACGCCTGACGGCAGGACTGCGTCATTCCAGAAGAGGAAGAAATCTCTTCACCGCTTTGTTTTCTTAGTGTCCTTGCTATGTATCATAGCAAAATCAAATTCATTTGATTTTGTTCATTGTTGTATGTTTGTTTTCCTTGAAAGATTTTTTAAGCTTCTTGAAAACAGACTGTTTTCCACATTCCAGACTCATTTCCACCATTTGCCGCAACAGGCATGACTTGTAGAACTGACTGTACATCAGGCAGTTCGGTGCCTGTGGTTACACTGACTTTTGACCGTGCGTGTTTGTATCTCTTCAAGAGCTGGAGAAGGAGCGGCAGCGAAGCCTGGGAAAGCCTTTGCTCGGGGGCCCATTTTCCCTCACCACGCACACTGGAGAGCCCAAAACGGACAGAGACTATGTGGGTCAGTGGGTGTTGATTTATTTTGGTTTTACTCATTGTCCTGATGTCTGTCCAGAAGAACTAGAGAAAATGATTCAAGTCGTGGATGAAATAGGTAAGCCATCACCAACTGTAAAAAGTAAATTTACTTAATGTCACCATGCTTCTCACATTCTTGAATTACTGTCATGTCGGGTGTTGGAATCACTTGGGCTCATTGTGAGAACAAAATCTAAGCATTGCACTTGTTTGCTGCTTTGATTCCTGTGACCTTATTCTCTAGCAGAGGGAGTTGTTCTGATGCTAAATGTTAAGTTGCTTAAACATGTCGGGGAGGTTGGGTTTCTCATAGCTCTGCATTGTGTCCCTTCCTTGGATGTACATGCCCATCCCTGACACTGCCTTCATCCCTGTGACAGACAGACTAAAAAATTGGGCGTGCAGTCTGTGATATGCACTCAGTGGCATTTATTAGCACCAATGAGAAGGCAGGGTACGTCCTTCTTAAAATAGATTGTTTCAGGGGGTTCAGCCCTTATTGATAGTCTCTCTTGTCCTTGAGATACTGGGTGGGGGGGCAAACTACAAACATCAGATTGGATGAGGACACAAGATAGTCACATGTCGTGATCCAGGTAACAGGTACACACTGGTGCAGGTGTTTGGTAAGATAATTACCTGGTTCCACCACAGACACCGTGTACATCTGCTCCTCCTGCAGGCCATCCGATCCCCTGCCCCATCCTCTCCACTAGAATGTTAGGTGCTCCCCTGTTTCCTCAACACCTTGCTGTAACATTAACTACTCTCCTCTGTAATTGTTGATGTTCCTCTTTTCCCTAGAGTGTGAATACTGACCAATGAGAACTTTCTTTCAGATAGTATTCCAACTCTGCCAAATTTAACTCCGCTTTTCATCACTATTGACCCAGAAAGGGACACAAAGGAAGCCATCGCAAATTATGTGAAAGGTATGTCGTATTAACAATACATCTTGGGGCTCCTGGGTGGCTCGGTTGCTAATTAAGCATCTGACTCTTGATTTTGCCTCAGGTCATGATCTCAGGGTTATGAGATCGAGCCCCATTGTTGGGCTTCATGCTCAGCAGAGTCTGCTTGAAGATTCCATCTCCTTCCCTCTCCCCCCCACTCCCACTCACATGCATGTGTGCGCATGCTTTCTCTTAACAAATAAAATAAAAATCTTAATAATAATAATACTTTACATCTCTTTAAGCTCCTAGAGTTTTTGAAAGATCAACTCATTTGACCTCCATGCCTCATGAAATAGGGAGAACAAATATTATCATCAGGTTTATAGGCGAATAAAAAGGTGAGGCTGAGTTGTGACTATGGCTGATAAGCAAATAAATAAACAAGTTTCTCAATTCCTAGTGCACAGCTCTGTTTCTTTTGTCACAGGAAGGACTAGACTTGGCCTTCATATATCCACAAAGCTGACAGAACCTTGAGTACAGAGTGAGGACACATTGCTTCTAATTCCAGGTCTACCCCATTCTGTAAAATTAGGACAAACGTACATCCTGGGAGTATGTAGATTGGGAGATTAGAGACTTTATATACAGATTGAGGTCCCAACACATATTTTGTAAATCCAGAACATTTACTATGACAGACACATGTATAACTTTTCATGGAAGAATTTCTTCACGTGCAGGTTAAAACCTATGAGAAGGCACTTTAAAAAAAAAGATTAAGTTATGGTAGAATTAAGGATGAATGTTCAGGTTCTCATGACTTGGCTAAATTGTGTAGTTTCTCAGGATTCAAGTTTTTTCAGCTGAAAAATGATGAGCACAAAAATCTGTTTTGTTATAGGAGTGACAGGAACGTGGGTGCTGAAAAATCAGGAATTGGAATTCTAATTTTAATTATGGTGAAATTGATTTAGGCTATGGTCAAAGGGAGGGGTAATGAATAGTTTTATGTTTAATTTTATCATATGACACATTGTAACACGTATCTAAAGCTTTGAGGTTATTTCAGAGTATGTTTGGAGAAGGAGCTGCTGTCTCTTGTTATTTAACATATTTATTGAGCTGTAATTGATGTACAGCAGCACATATTTAAAGTGTACAGTTTATTACCTTTTGTCATATGTCTCCACTTGTGAAACCATCACCACAGCCAAAAAAAATGGATGTGTCGTCACCCCCAAGCGTTTCCCTTGCACCCCTCCTGTCCCTGGGCAACCACTGATCTGCTTTCTGTCGACATGGAATAGTTTGCATTTTCTAGTAGTTTATGCAAACAGAGTTATACACTGTATACTCTTTTTAATGGCTTTTGCTGCATAATTCTTTTGAGACTCATGCATTCTTTAGCCTGATCAGAAGCTCGCTTTCTTATTGCTGAGCAGTATTCTGTTGATGGACATTGGAGTTACTTCCAGTTCGAGGCTGCTACAAGTAGAGCTGCTGAGAGCATTCATGTACAAGTCTTTGTACGGACACATACTTTTCATTTCTCTTGAGTAAATTCATACAAGTGGATTGTTGGATCATGTAGTAGGTGCACCTTCCTGCTTTTTAAGAAAACTGACAGTTTTCCAAAGTGGTTGCACATTTTTACATTCCTGCCAGCCACATGTGAGAGCTCCAGCTCCTGCCCATCCTCACCACACTTGATGTGGTCAGCCTTTAATTTTAGCCACTTCAGTAGGTGTTCGATGGTAGATCATCGTGGATTTGATATGCTTTGTTCTAACGACCATTGGTAGTACACATCTGGGGCTCCTGGGTGGCACAGTTGGTTAAATTATCCGACTCTTGGTTTCAGCTCAGCCCTGATCTTGGGGTCATGAGATCGAGCCCCATGTTGGGCTCCATGCTCAGGGAGGAGTCTGCTCGGGTTTCTCATTCTGTCATCTGTCCCTCCCCCACTTGCTCGTTTTCTCAATAAATCTTCAGGAAAAAATATGAAGCATCTTTCCATGTACTTATTTACTATCTGTATGTCTTTGATGAGTGTCTTTTCACAACTTTTGCTCATTTCTGGGGCTATTCGTTTTACTTGTATTCCTTTATCATGCATATTCCCAATTTGAGTCTTACAGGTATATGATTAGCAGATATTTTCTCACAGTCTGTGGCTTGTCATCTCAGTCTCTTAATGTGGTTTGAAGAGCAGCTTTCAATTTGATGAAATCCAGTTTATTAGTGTGTTCTTTTATAGATAATTCTTTTGGTTTCATTTGGAAGAAATCTTTCCCCAACTGAAGGTTACAAAAGTTTATGTTTTCTTGAAGTTGTACAGTTTTTATTAGATATTTAAGGTGAATTTATGCTCATGGCATACAAGTTTAGCTGGAATTTGAACAATATCATGTTTATTTTCTAAAGCAGTAAGCAGCAGGTATAACTCATTGGGTGACAGATGATCTCCAATGTAAGTGTGTGATGTTGGCACTTGTTTGTTACCACATGTTAACCAAGTCCTAAATGTCCCCAGAGGAGGAGAGAGTTCTCATAATTCAAATGCAAAAACCCTACACTAATATTCTTCACCAGGACATACATACAGTAAATGATGATATAATCTGTACTAATTGCATTGGAATGGGGGGCGGCATTAAAAATAATTCAAGTTCATATGTAGAAAATTATTACAGTTTCAACAATATTTTTTAAAAGGTGTTGATATGCAGTGAATTTAGACTTCGTTTACTTTTCTCTCAGAGCAGAAAAGAAAAGCCATCCTACTTTTTCAGTATGGGAACAGTTTATCAATTTAGGATGAATTAGAAATGACAGTAGGCTTTTTTCTCTACCTTTGGAAGATTGGAAGAAGGTAATGCAATTAATAAGTGTTGGACTGTCATCTCTCCAGTCTGATGCATCCAGGTGTTTTAAATGACTTTAGCTCACTTACACGAATCCCAAAAACCATACAGCCATACATCAGGTGCATGCTGTGAGATTATTTTGCTAGAAAATGAGAACTATTGTTATGAGATAAGTAAATCGTGAAGCAAACATTTTTTTCAGGATACAGTGAAAAACTGCTTAATTCATGACAATATCTGTAAACTTCAGCATATGTCAGAAGTATGTCTAAGTATTTAAAAACAACTAATTTTGTTTAAAATATGGTTTAAATAACATAGAATATGTTTCCTCCAGATCTTTACAAGATCATTTTGAAAGGATCTGACTTACAAAGAACCAGCTTTGGGTTTCATTGCTTTTTCTTTACCGATTCCCTGTTCTCAGTTTCATTGATTTCTGTTCTAATTCCTTTCTGTTCACTTTGGGTTTAATTTGCTCTTCTTTCTCTAGCTTCCTAAGGAGGATAATTAGATTCCTGATTTTAGGTCTGTCTTCTGCAATATACAGATTTCAGTGCCACATGACCCCAGAAGCACTGCTTGGGCTGCGTCCCACAAAGTTTGATAAGTTTTCATTGTCACTTAGTTCAAAATACTTGTAAATTTCTCTTGAGATTTCTTATTTGACCCACATATTATTCAGAAGTGTTTCATCTCCATGTGTTTTGGGATTTTCCACTTATCTTTCTGTTACTTCTATTTTAACTCTGCTGTGGTCTGAAAGTGCACATCATATGGTTTCTGTTAGGGTCCATTTAATGGCCCAGAATGTGGCCTGTCTTGGTGACTGTGACTTCTTTATTACAAAGGAGTATTTGCATTTGTTCTGTGTGTATTTCTTTTTCCTGTGAATCACGAGGGAGTGTTCAGATACCCATTGGAAGAAAGTGGCAGCAGGAGCTGATTTATAACTGAAGTTTTTAAAATGGGGGGTGGGGTAGTTTTGCTTGCTTCTCATTTTTCACTGTGTTTCTGATTTTTTATTTAGAATTTTCTCCTAAACTGATTGGGCTGACAGGCACCAAAGAGGAGATTGATCAAGTGGCCCGAGCATACAGGGTGTACTACAGCCCTGGCCCCAAGGACGAGGATGAGGACTACATAGTAAGTAAATGTTCAGGCATCTCCCACGGGCCAGCTCTCAGGCCCCACACAATCGTACAGCTCAAATGACTGGCTTTTCAGAAATGAAAGAAAAGCTGAGATCACAAATTCCTCAGGAATTTGGGATATTTGAAAGGGCAACAAAAGTATAGTTTTTTTAAGGATGCTGGTTTAATGTACATTCACTGTTCTCGTAACCTCATTGCCTGTTTTTGTTTTTAGGTGGCCCATAAAATTATGGGAAAATACATGGCAAGTGGTACTTTAGATTTAATAGAAATGATGCTTAGATACCATGTTGGAAATAAAGAGAAGCCATTGTTTGGGGGCAAAGCTTATTTGGGTTCAAAACATCGTGTAGGTTCTCCACATGTCCCAGGGAGGAGGCAGAAGAAGTAGTGTGAGGCCATGGGGAATGTGGGGAACTGCATTTTTGGAATGGATAAGAATTCTGAAAAGCAAGAGAAAAGATTGAAAGCTATTAGAAGATAAACTTTCCATAAGGTTTATTTTTCTAGGAACTCGATGCTTTGCACAATTATGTGTTTATGTTTGCTTTCGGATGATGAAGGACAGCGAGGAGGTTGTGTTTACATGGAAGAGTTGCCGTGGCATTCACCAGCACTCCCTCTCCAGCCTCTCCCCTGGGAGGATGTCCCCCTTGCCTTGTTCCTTCTCTTACCTGTGCTGTCACCGTGAAACACCAGCAGAGGGCATCAGGACCACCCCGCCCACCCAGTTTTCTTCTCAATCTGGACATTTCTTCCTGTCCATTAATAGTTGGCCTTGCAGTAGTACTTTCGTATCTTCCCTGTCAGGCTCTGGTTTCTCTGTAACATTGGTTGGGCAAAGCGATTAATCATAAGAGTCTATCAGATGCTCAACGATACTGTCAGCTGGCCTTCATGTGCTGGTAAAATACTTGGAAACACTGGGTTGTGTGGTCTACCTTGACTGGTTGGTCTTGACTCAGCCAGAGCACATCATTTTCATGGTTTCTGCCTGTAACCAGCAGTGACAGCTAGGTGCCCTGAGATCATAACCATGAACATGCATTTGGGTGCTGAGATTTGTATTCAGTCATAAGATAGTCCTGCACAGAATCCAGAATACAAAGATTAACTTTTTCATTTTAAAAATTAGAATGCAGATATTTAAGTCTTAAAGACGACTTCTTGTACCCTCTAGAATGCATCCTGGACCCCACTTTGAGGCCTACTGGTCTATTGCCCTAAGAATTTGACCTTTGATAAGAACCAGTGAATCGTACACCTGAAGCTAATATAACACTGTATGTTATTAACTGCACTGGAATTAAAATACCAAGGAAGAACCAGTGAGATCGTTGCTATACGTTTGCTAAATCAACCAGTAGGGGGAGGTGCTCTCCAGCTTAGGATTCTCATTGGTACTGGCGCCTTCTGTGCCGTGAGGCCACAGATCTTCATCCACAAATGGTGTGAGAAGCTTCTGTCAAGATCTAAGGACCTATAGGGAGTGAGGGAGTTCCATAGGGTTGAGATCTCCATAACAGCAGAAGGGAGGCTTCTGGCTTTCGAGTGCCCGTGGAGTCTTCAGACTGATAGTACGTGCAAAGGGGGCATGCCAGACACTTAGGATTCCGTTGGAAGCTGAGCATGCATGTCACTACCATATGTATATATATGGCATATATATGTGTGTGTATATATACATGTGTGTATATATATTTATACACACACACACACACGCTATTACTTTAGTCTGTGTTATACACAATTTGGGACGCTTGGGTGGCTCAATCAGTTAAATGTCCAAATGTCTTGATTGCAGCTCAGATCATGATCTCAGGATCCACTGAGTGTGGAGCTGCTCAAGATTCTTTCCCTCTGTGTCCCCCATGCTCTCTCATGAAAGAAAAAGAAAAGCACTACAACTGGCTTTCAAACCCAAGAAAAGATGTTCAGTTCCACTCAAAATGAAAGAATGGAAATTATACAATGTGATGCCACTTTCAGAAATCTGTTCTGACCAGCAGAGGTCAGAAGTTTGAAATACACTGTCAAAATCGAATTTGGGAAAAGAGGGGATCCACTCTTGGAGTGAATTTGGAAGAGCAGGCATTCCTGTGCACATGGATATTAGGAATTAACTGATCCACACTCTTCGGGGAGTGGTTTGTCACATTTCAAGTGCAGTACCTTTTACATTAGAGATTCTGCTTTGGGGAATTTTTTTCTACACCCATATCCTACAGCATCATTCTTAGAGAAGACTGAACACCAGGCAACCGTTTTTTTTTTTTTAAAGCTGCTGTGTACGTACTGCTGAGGAATGGAGTCCAGTATCCTGTAAAACGAGAAAGCAGCTACAGTATATCGTTACTTCCATGCTTGCAGTGAGAGAAGCAGGCGGCACACACACACACTAATAAATGCAGGCAGTTACTCTGGAAGAATCCAGAAGGAGCTGGTGACAGTGGCCTTCTCCAAGGAGAACAGGGGGACTCTGGGTTTCTAGAAGGAGTGCCAGATTTCCACTGCATAAGTTTACTGTATATTCTTGTGCTCACTTTTATGTATACATGTTACCTTTTCAAAAACATAAGAAGCATATATATGTGTCTAGAAAACTCACACATTAGAAGAGCCACACTGCTGGTCCACAGTAGAAGCAGCAGATTGTGACAGACCCAGGTTCTAGGCTGAGGTCCGGCACTTACTAATGATAAGCTCACTCTCAAGCCCTTTTGATTGTTTGCATAGGACTAGGATACCTGGCTCCAGGACTAAGGTGGCATGTGAAAGAGCTTGTGCGTCATGCTAGCTTCCTTTTTCCATCTGAGAGACACTAGAGCTTCAAAGCACACTGTCTTAGAAATACACAATCGTTCGCTCTGCCCACAAGCCAGCCAAACGTCGAGATGTGACCACTGACAAGTTTGGCAGATATGGATAGAACAATATTTTCATTATGTATTAGAACGTAATTTATATTAAGAACACTCGTAAAAAAAAATCCACTGGAATTCTAGTGGAATTTCAAGGGAGAGAGAGAGAATAGGAAAAAGTAGGGAGAGAGGTGCAAGCTACAGGGTAAGGCTTGAAGAGCAAGCCAAAGACTCCGTTGAGACTCCATCAGATGTGTGGAGAATCGTGGGTCCCCTGTCCTGCTCCTGCTGTACGTTATTCTAAGACACATGAAATCACCAGCTGTCTGAGCACATTCCTTCCCTATGTGCGCAGGCAAGTGGTTCTTTCCATTTGCTACCTCTTTATGAATGTGTGTATATAAAGAAGTAATAACCTCACAGACCTATAATGTGTGGCGGGCAGCTTTGGGGGGTGTCGCCAGCTTGGTATGTGTGATCACATTTCTGTCTTCCTTTTTGTCTTGCCAAATAGCAATCAAGCCTGAAATAAATTCCAAGGACTCTAGGCGCCAAGTCTTCTCATTTAAAATTGGATTTGGTAGAAGCACATAAATTAAAAAATTGATGACTAATCTAAGCCTCAGAGTTAGGAATGTTTTCAGAACTCTGCCTGGAAAATAGATAATAAATTGACTCCTCGGAGGGGTAGCATTTACAGCCTGAGGAGTTAGTTTCCAGATGATCTGCTTCTGATAGGATCATTCAGCATAGTGTATACGAATTTCTTAGGGGAGAAAAACCCTTGTTTCCACATTTCCCTTTGAATCACTGATATCAAGACTAAACACTGTGCTAGAATTTATATACTTAACAGCAGTAGTTAGTTTTCTGTATTCTTCTCAATAAAAAGTGGTCAGCAGCATTTAGGAGTAAGGAGCTGCAGGTTCTTCCTAAAGCAGCAGCCATGTCTTAGGAGCAGAGTCAGAGATTGTGTGGATGCGCATGTTACGGGTGGAACCAAAAGAATCCCAGACTCTTCCTTGTGTTTAGAGCAGTAGTCATTGCGGAGTTCTGGAACACAGAAGACTTTGGATAGTTGTCACCATGAATTTATTATAACAGGCTTAGACCCATTCTGTAAACGACAGGTGTAACAAAGGTTGTTTAAGCATTCATGTGAAATTCTCTTCTCCTGCAGCGTTCACTCAGTCACATAAGCAGCATGTTTGGTAATCTTATTGTCCTTTCTCTCCCTCCCCCCACCTCTTACTCTGCAGGTGGATCACACAATAATAATGTACTTGATTGGACCAGATGGCCAGTTCCTAGATTATTTTGGCCAGAACAAGAAGAATGCCGAAATCGCTGGTTGCATTGCCGCGCACATGAGAGAGCACAGAAGGAAGAGCTAGCCAGCGTGGAGGCGGCAGCGGCAGGATTCTCTTGCGGAAGAGGAAAAAGGCTTTATCTCCCATAGGAGCCAAAATATATAGAGACACACACATGTATATGCAACCTACAGAATGGCCTTCATACCACAAGAGCATCTTTATTTTGGGCGGGGCAGGTTACCCTTGGGTTCAGCCAAGAGAGTTCTTGGAACTGTAAAGATTCCAACGACATAGTCACCTGGGACCAGAGGACCAAGTTAACGTGAAGCCAGCAGAGTGGACCTCAGGAAAGCAGGGGGCCGGCAGGTGCATTTCCCCACGTCAGCAGGGCCCTTAGGTCAGCGTTGCTGGTGTCCTGGACCCTCGTTGTCCAGCTTGTGGGGCTGATTTTCCAGGAAGAGTGTAATTTCCATAGTGCCTTCACTTCCCTGCTTCGAGTTCTTGGGGGCTGCTAACAGTCAAATCAGGCTCTTGGACGTTCAGTTAATCTTTAGACTTGAAAACGCATGTGTATATGGTCTTCAGTGTTTACAGATGTCACGGTCAGGTTTTCATTGTGTTCATCAGCACCTGCTGAGTATACTAATGAAGAGGAAATTTGGGGAAAAACCAATAGATCAGCTTCTGTAGGGATCTTTTATATGATTTTTCTTTAAATATGCCGGGTTTTCGCGACCTACCAAATGGATGGAAGGGAATGTGGATCATGACTGTGACACAGGGCACTTCTCTGCCTAGAAGGGTGGCAGTGGGTGTGAAATAAAGGTGTGTTCAGTTTTGCAAGCATGACCTTTACCGTGGCTGAATCGTGGGTGCACATGGCAGCACACAGCCCTCGAAGAGAGACCTACGGCCTCAGGGGACCCCTTGGGTGCTTGTGAAAGCCCACGTTCCGGGCCAGAGCCAGATTCGTGGAGTCCGGGGTGGGATGCAGGCCCCTGCACTCGTAAGCAACCTGTAGGTGCCTCAGACCAGGCCTGGGAAGCTTTGTGGGGAAGCAAGTTCTCGATCTGGGCAAGGGAAACCGTGGCCCACCTTGTGGTGTGACCTTCACAGTGCTGTGCACACAGCCTTTCAGGAAAGTGACTGTCGAGTGTTGGGATGAATCTTTTGTGAGTAACCTTCCCTTGATGTCTGTGTTTGACGGTCACCTTTTTCCACCCAAAGCTGCCACCCAGGGCGAAGTTCTCTGGAAGTTTTCAGTAAATCCTAATGCAACAGGTCTCATCTCTAGTCCGACAACAGGCTCTTGCCCATCACTTGGGTTTGACAGGCACAGGATACAGGCTTATCTTGGCTTTTAAACTCTCAGTACTCCCAGTAAACCTACCAAAAATACATCAGTGTACATGAAAAGAAAAACCATCAATTCTGCAGTGGCCATGGGCTGGTCTGTGTCCCCCCAGGAGTTGTACAGTGCTGAGCCCCAGTGCCTCAGGGTGTGAACTCTCTTGGGGGAGAGAGTGTTTTCAGACTTAAGGGAGTTAAAATGAGGCCCTCGCCCAGTCTTGCTGGTGTCCCTGAGGATGACACAGACCACCTCCACCAGAACCCACCCCCGCCGACACCTCGCCCTGGGACTTCGAGGCTCCAGTGCTGTAGGAGGAGGGGCATATGTTAAGCCCCCAGTGTGCGGGGTTTTGTTCCAGAACCCTGGAGAAACACCACAGTGGCTCTTCTCTTTCCTCAGGCAGGCTCCTTGAGAAACAACCACGACATCACCTTTGCTAGGGATCGTGTCAAGGCGAGGGATTCACCAAAGGACACAAAAGATACCAAATGGAGGTGCCTGGGGGCCCTGTTGGTTGAGCATCCAATTCTTGATTTCCGCTCAGGTGTCCATCTCAGCAGTGTGAGTTCAAGCCCCGTGCTGGGCTCCATTCTGGGTATGGAGTCTACTTTAAAAAGACCAAAAAGAAAAAAAAGATACGAAATGTCTAAAATGCTAGACATGAGAAAAGAGGGTCTGTTTTAAGCCACAGGACGTTTGTGTGGATCCCTTTGCTACAGGCTTGCTCCCAGAAAAACGCAGTCCTCATTCTCAGCTGTTCCAAGTTAGAGCTTGTGTCATGATCCAGAAAGGGAACAGCAGCTTTTGAAGAAACGTACTTGCTCCTCATTCCAGTGTCAAGTTGAAAGACTTGGATTAGCAGCAGGGAAAGGGGCCTCAGCGATGACGTCCTGGTCTCTTTTTATTCATGAGGGGACAGTCCCAGCCTTTCTGAACCTAGTTGAGAACTTGGGTCCCCGTGTCCAGTCACGCTCCTGCTTGTGCCCCTGCCCTGGGGGGCTCACAGTGACCATGGGGATCCAACCATCCTGGGGTGCCATGTGCTGGGTGGGCAGCCTCTCAGTCCTGGATTTGGGGAGATGAAAATCAAGGCTGCCTTTTGGCAAAGTATCACTTGCAGATCCTTGCCTGGGTGAGTTAGGAGTGCTCGCGCTCGAGGCTTCCATAGAATCAATATTTTTACAAATGCCGTTGTTCATTTGAAAATTGCAAGTGTCCTGCCGGTGCAGGAGGCATGGAAGGACTTAATGCATTGGGGGGTCCCCAAGGCAGCCGATCACCTGAGGTCTAGGCACTGAGACTCACTGAGCCACCCACTTGGTCTATCCACAGTAAAGCACCATGAATTGGGAGGCCAGTGTGAACCCAGTAGAGTGATTTGAGGCTGCAAATGTATCTGCCCTGAGATACTTTAAAATATTTTAAAGAGTAAAAAATGAAAATTTTCAAATCACCCATGATTCCTCAAATGACATCTTTTTCATCTGGTACAATTTATTTAAACTTGTGTATGTGTGCAAGCTCCCTTTAAGAGAGCAGTCACCCACGCAAGCATTCTTTATCCAAGTCATGAGTTACGGTTACCCTGGAACAATATGGGTGCTTGCTCGTATTTACCCCTGAGGTCCCCTCAACCCCTTTAGCCAACCATCCTCAACCCTGCTAGAACCTAGGAGGTCGTAATTTGCTATTCATTTTTAAAGTGTACTTTAAAAAGTTGATTTATTCTCCCACAATTTTACTATAGCTTCAAAATTTGGGACAGAAAAGTTGAAGGATATAATTTTAAAATCACCCTTACTCCAATACCAGGGAACAGTATTGAGATGCATTTCCCTTGAATCCTCAACATTTTAAAATCTTTCGTTACACCAGAAATTCACAAGCGTATCCCTTTATAAAGTGAGGCAAGACACGCCAAGCTGGAGCTCCCTGCCCACCCCCCAGGCACCTGCTGCTTAGTGCTGGGTGGGCGGCTTCCCGCAGTCCTGAGGGTCCAGTCGGGTTCAGGTTACAATCTCGGAGTTAAATGTGTTACTATCGTGACTGACACGTGTTGCCTGGTTTTTATATGACTGTTAATTGTTAATTACTGCCTATTTGTTTTATTACCGAGTTTAGTAAATAGTGAAATTAGCCCAGTATTCTCGCCAAGGTTAGGTGGTGGGTTAGCTAGACAAAAAATCAGTGTTCAGGGCAGTCTTCACTTGGCCTCTTAGTGCTCCGAGGACCCCATCACTCACGGACACACACGCCCCTGGTGTTGGCAGGACACAGCTGTCCTGCAGGTGTTACCAGGTGTGCAGCACGTGCAACTGTACCCATGCTGCAGGAGTCCCTTGCACAGAAACCGAACCTGGGTCAGTACTGCCCATGGGCTACGTCAACCCTCCGCAGCCCCTCATCTTGCTGGCGACTTGGGAACACCAACAGCCCTGCCGGTGCTGGGTTGCTGGGAGGGCCCCATGGAACTGTGGTGGTGTGGATGCCATTCCGGGCTTGCTTGACAGATGTGTCAGCAGGTGGGCTCGGCTGTAAGTGCTTCCTGCCCTCCTTCGGTCACGGTTCCGCTCACGTGCCTAGAGGGGTGCTCCCCCCAATCCCCCGGACCCCAAACCAACACACACCTAGGCCTGGAACCATGCTCATGTTGCCTTCATGGGCCGTTCACACCTGCTTGCTTAAATGGCATTTGAATTTAGGGACAAGCTTCTTGAAAACACTGTGAGGTTTGAATCAGAAACTCGGGGCATTTGGCCTTGACCAGGGCACGATGATACAGTAGGAGCCGGCAGCCCAATGGGGTTCTTCCCCGAGGGCCTCTCAAAGGCCCCTTACCTCTAGCAAGGCAGACAGACCACAAATATGTTCCCTGGTGTCAGACCGTGGTTAGTGCTGTGAAGAAACAAAGGTTTGGAGGGTGGCGGGGAGGATGGGCATTAATTGGTCATGGGCGGGTCCTCCAGGGGGTGACCATCTGAAACCTGGCAGTGAGCCATGTATCTTGGAGGGAGAAGGAACCTTCCAGGCCCAGGGCCCTGACCCCAGAGTGGTCTTGGGAAGCAAGAGCAGCAAGGAGCCCCGTGCCCCGCAGTTCATTGAGTCAGGGAAGGCAGGAGGTGAAGGCTGCAGAAGGGGCCAGGCCTCACATCCCGTGCACGGCAGGGACCCTGGGTCTACTGGGGGTGGGTGGGGGGGCTGGAGGGCTGAGAGCAAGAGCCTGGCCTCACCCATCTGCACAGGGCACCCATTAGGATTGTTGCTCTAGTTCAGGGAGAAGTCAGGTGCTACTGTCTCCCCTCATGGGGGTGCGCACTCACTGTCCTCCCCCCTCTCCACACCGAAGGTGCTGGAAGGATGCCGGGGACCCCCTCCCCACCGCCAGCTGGCGCAGCTTTGAGAGAGAAGCTTGCTCGGAGGCTTCTGGAGGCTTTCTGGGCCCAGGACACGGTGGAGAACAAGGAAGGAGGGAACGGGCAGGCTCCTCGCCGGCTGCTGCCATGAGCAGCAGGTGGCCGCTGCCAGTCAAGCTGGGAGGCCGCTCTGATGATTCCGGGGCCCCTCAAATCCCTTTTTAGGGACTCCTCTAGGGCCGCCGCCCTCCACTTGAGCCATCTGAAGTATTCTGGGGCCGGTCTGCACCTGGCAACCCGTTACCCGTTTTGTGCGGAAGAGGACGTCAAGGCGAGGGGCCAGGCCGAACTCTGCAGACGAGGGAGGGCCTCCCAGTCTCCCGGACCCGTGCTGAGAGCCTTGGCCTCTGCACCTGCTGGCCCGCGAGGCCCCTGCTGGCCCTGAGGCTGTTTTCCCACCCCGCTGTCAGCTGTGGCGCAGACCGTCCAGCACGTCCCCGCCGTGGAGCGGAGCAAGGCCCGACTGGGAACTCGTCTGCGAGTCGGCAGCAAAGCCGAGGCCGGAGCCGCCTCTCCCGCCTTCTGCCCCAGCGCGGCCCCTGCGCCCACAGCATCCCCTCACCTGGGGGCTTCCCAGAAACGCACGGTCTTGGGCTCCACCCCGAGACTTCCTGAATCAGAATCTGCATTTTCACAAGATCCCCCAGGGATTCTTACACCCATTATTACAGCTTGAGAAGCACCACTCTATGGCACACTGAATTCCATCCCCTGTAGGCCGCAGAGCCTCCCACCTCCTCCCCAACAGGGAAGAGAGAAAATACAAAATGATAAAGTAATTCATCTCCCCACCCCCTGGCCAGGAAGCTCTTTCTTTAATTAATCTTGCTTCCATGGAACACATCCCTTGAAAGTGTCTCCCCAGTAAACAAATTCCATTTTCCGGTAATGGTTTGATCACTCCATTTTTCAAATTTTAATCAAAGACACAGATCACTTGCTGTCAGAACTTCTCTCCAGCACAGATGCCAAGGGTTTCTCTGTTGATATAATTAAAGCAAAAAAAGCTGAGATACGCTGTTTGGTTAGCCTGTGAGACCTTATCGGGGCTAAATGCAGGATTTCCACTTGGGCATTTT